AGTTATTAATTAAAACAAAACCTATCCTGTACAGTTATTAATTAAAACAAAACCTATCCTGTACCGTTATTAGTCATAACAAAACATATTCTGTACAGTTATTAATCACAACAAAACATATTCTGTACAGTTATTAATCACAACGAAACATATCCTGTACAGTTATTAATTAAAACAAAACCTATCCTGTACAGTTATAAATTAAACAAAACCTATCCTCTACAGTTATTAATTAAAACAAAACCCCATCCTGTACAGTTATTAATTAAAACAAACCCTATCCTGTACAGTCATTAAGTAAAACAAAACCTATCCTGTACAGTCATTAAGTAAAACAAACCCTATCCTGTACCGTTATCAATTAAAACAAACCCTATCCTGTACAGTCATTAATTAAAACAAAATCTATCCATACACAACAATTAATTGCAATTAGAATATTCAGTAAGTTAAAAAAAGTAAGTCATAGATTTAGGAACAGGACACAGCAAAAATGTAACTGAAAAACCTAGACCTGATCTGTATTTAATTAATTAAACAAACCTATGCTGACTGAAGATAAACCTAGGCTGACACACTTAAAATATGAGTGTTCGTATTTGTACAAGTAGCTTAAAGCTTTTAAAAGTCGCATTTTTCATATGTTTTTCTGATCTTCTTCACCTAAAGTCAAGTGTAATAATTCTAAGTCTGAAAATACATAGATTGAATTTGCACTATTATATGTTAATAACGATGAATAATGAGATAAAAATTGAAAGATGCTGTTGTAATCGAGTGTCTGACGAGATTCAGTTACTCTATTGAGATATAAAACTATCAGAACAACGCTGTAATTACTGACAAGTTGTTGAAGAGTGGTTTTATTGGTATCCAACAATAATGAGGATTTTGTCTGCATCTAATTGCCATATGGCTTTATAATAGATAGAGCTGATATTTACTGTAATTAAGCGTGGTTATACACTGTGGTTTCTGTAGAAGGTCGTAACGTTCGACTTGCTTTAGCCTAATATAATGGAATTAAAAGTTTGGTTTTCACCCGCTGGATTGAAGGTTAAAAAAAAACTGTACATTTGATATAATCAACAGGTTTATTCATAAAGCAACATGATTGAAGCTCATTTAAATATGCACGGAATTGATTGTATAAAATAACAATAAATCAACGTTTAACGTGCCGGGGCTAGTATTACATATTGCTTTTTTTTTTCTGTTGTTTTTAATATTTTTCTTATGTAGGAAAACGTCCGAGGCTATACGAGAGTATTACGTAAATCATACGCACAGAATCGTTAACTTTTCTCGGCTTCGATACGCGCATATGTTTTTTATCGTTTTTATCCAACTAATATACGATGCGTGATGTCGAGTACTTACCTTACGCCCATTACTCGTACGACAAAGAGGGCTATGAAATAATTTATAGGTGAATTTACTCAGCGTTTTAGGTGTATGAAAAAAAAAGAAGTCGCTTTATTATCTCCGGCTCAACATTTTTCAATCTTTCCCCCTAGGACAAAAAAACAGGTTGTATTGTGTCTGTCGTTACAAGACGCGGCGGCGAAACGCTTATATGAGCTTCGACGCTGTTTGTGTTAGCACTCGTACGATATTAGGCAGGAAAGATGGAAGCTACTTAAAGAACGTAAGTTTCTAAACACAAAAGACATCTTGTGTAAAAATTTCACCTTTTTTTTTTTTTATCTCAGCCATCCGCTAAATTAAAGTGGCACAAATCACTGAAAACTATCTCCAAGACAAGCTATAACCTTCCAGCATACACTCTCCAAAATCATCTGTATCTTGAGTTTATGAACAGTCTCATAAGTCGTGGAATTCTACCAGGAAAAAACAGGTTTTTCTTCCAAAAAGTTATTCACGTTTTATAACTCATCTAAAATCCCTAAGCCTAAAAAGTTAGACAATCTGAACCCAGGTATAAACAGCGCAGGAAATAACGCAAGACAACGTGAAGATTGCGGATTTCAGAGTATATTTCTCCTAAGTATTGTGGTGTCATGCCACTGTAAAAACAAACAACTAAATTTTAGGGTAAAAGGACTGTTAGGAGATTTACTAAGAAAAACTTACGGTAATTACATTTGTCAGCCTTTCTATCGACAATTTCTCTTGGGTGTTTAGTGTTATATTTATACCTATATTGTTGTTTCTTAAGATATAAATATCCTAACAGAAAGTGTTCTTGGGTGTTGATGTTTTATGTGATGTATCGACCATGAAATACCAGAATTAATACAAGATTTTTTTTATCAGAAATTTATTTCCATGGTAGGATACAATAACAGTTGAAGTTATTACATCTTCTGTAATACCACAATAACAGTTGGAAGTTATTACATCTTCTGTAATACCACAATAACAGTTGGAAGTTATTACATCTTCTGTAATACCACAATAACAGCTGGAAGTTATTACATCTTCTGTAATACCACAATAACAGTTGGAAGTTATTACATCTTCTGTAATACCACAATAACAGTTGGAAGTTATTACATCTTCTGTAATACAACAATAACAGTTGGAAGTTATTACACACACACACATCTTCTGTAAAACCACAACAACAGTTGGAAGTTATTACATACACATAGGAGATTAGGCCTCCTATGAGGTGTATCAGTAACTGAATAATATTTGTGGTTAGGCCTCATATGAGGTGTATCATTATTTTTGACAAAGTTAAATTCAGTTAAGGATATTTGGCTACTTTGTGTTTTATATCTGATTACAATATCTGATTACAATATCTGATCAATATCTAATTACATTTACTTAAAGCAGGGCACCCACCACAGAATTACATCAATAAAAGAGGTAATTGGTGTAAAATGTTAATTACAAACGATATTATTTCAAAGTAAAGGTAACTTACGTTTTAGAAGGCAGTTATCAGTTCTTATTTCAACTTTCATTCATTTAATGTGAAATGTGCTTCTTATCAACCACCGTATAGAAACTCTAGTTTTAGCATTATAAGCCTATTGGTGGTGTATTAAAATATCTACATAACATTAGTATGATATTAAATTTTAGCGTTTTATTTTAAAAAATCCTAATGATTTTAAAAAGCGATACTAGTGAACTCAGCAAACGTAGGAAAATAAAATATATGCAATATTAAAATAAATGACGAAAATCTGACTTAATGTACCAAATCTCCGTTATATTACATTTACAACATACACTGATGAACATGCTGGGTCACATACAATAGATCAATATTTGTCTTGTCGAGAAATTTAATTTTAATTAGTAAATTTTAGTAAAAAAATAAAACGTTTTTTCATTATTCACAAAATTCAAACGAACCAGAGGGAGGGGGAATAATAATGATAAAAAAATAAAATAAAAATTAAGCGCTTCATAATAATCACACTAAATCAAGCGCTTTATAATAATGACACTAACTCAAGATCTTTATAATAATGACACTAAATTATGCGTTTTATAACAGTGACACTAAATCAAGTACTTTATAATAATAATACTAAATTAAGTACCTTATAATAATGACATTAAATCAAATACTTTTTATAATGACACTAAATTAAAAGCTTTATAATAACCACACTAAATAAAGCACCTTATAATAATGACATTAAATCAAACATTCTATAATAATGACACTAAATTAAGTACCTCATAACAATGACATTAAATCAAACACTTTATAATAATGACACTAAATTAAGTACCTTATAATAGTCACAATAAATTAAGTACCTTATAATAATGACATTAAATCAAATACTTTATAATAATGACACAAAATTACCGCGCTTTATAACAATGACACTAAATTAAGCGATTTATAATAATTACACTAAATTAAGTACCTTATAATAATGACATTAAATCAAGTACTTTATAATAATCACACTAAATTATGAGCCTTATAATAATGACACTAAATTATGTATTTTATAATAATGACACTAAATCTAACAAGAGAAAACTAGTTTTTATTTTGCAAGTTGAAATTGATATCAGCACCAAGAGATAGTGCCGTTAGCGAATAAAGTAACAAATATAATTATTCATTAAGGACTTAGACTTGGCTTTTTGTTAAACATTCCAATTTCATTTCTCTATTTTCCAACTAACAGTTTCATGTGATGTTTAGAACGTCAGTTGCAGGTAGTAAATGGAGTTAAAGTATTGTCTTCATTAGTGAATCAACAAATAACCAACTAGCAGATAGTAAATGGGAGTTAAAGTATTGTCTTCATTAGTGAATCAACAAATAACCAACTAGCAGATAGTAAATAGGAGTTAAAGTATTGTCTTCATTAGTGAATCAACAAATAACCAACTAGCAGGTAGTAAATATGAGTTAAAGTATTGTCTTCATTAGTGAATCAACAAATAACCAACTAGCAGATAGTAAATATGAGTTAAAGTATTGTCTTCATTAGTGAATCAACAAATAACCAACTAGCAGATAGTAAATATGAGTTAAAGTATTGTCTTCATTAGTGAATCAACAAATAACCAACTGGCAGGTAGTAAATAGGAGTTAAAGTATTGTCTTCATTAGGGAATCAACAAATAACCAATTAGCAGATAGTGAATAGGAGTTAAAGTATTGTCTTCATTAGTGAATCAACAAATAACCAACTAGCAGATAGTAAATAGGAGTTAAAGTATTGTCTTCATTAGTGAATCAACAAATAATCAACTATAAATTGATACGAGCTTAATCGACAGTTTCTGTTCACTTTGGTGTTATTTTATTACAGCTTTTAAATGTGTATTTAAATAGAAAACAAAAAACTGAAACAGGATCAGATACAAATGTAAGAAAAGTGGTTTGATAGCGGACTTGCTGAAAGAATCTTGACAGATGTACGTTTTTATTCTTCAAGTGTTTTTTCGTGCTCATGATGTACTGGAATTTACACCACTTATTCTGTTTAGAGTTCACGTAAACACCAGGCTTTAAGATTATAAAAAACAAAGACAAAGATACTTGTTGCTATGTTAAAAACATCTATTTTAATACATAAATCTGCTTCACATACATTATAAACAATTAAATTTATCTCCACTCAATATTAGCAATACTGTTTGTGAATTTTCTGCAAGCTGTTTTTTTATCACTTCACTTCAATCTGCTTCTTTTATCTGGCTTTGTTTAGAAGAGTAACTACAAAAAGAATTGAAAGTAAAGTCTGAGGAAACGTATTTCACATCATCACCATTTACTGTGATAACATTATACATATAACGTTTGAATGCTGAGAAAGTGGGAAAATTCTCTGATAATTTGATAACGAACAGGAAAGTGAATAGTTAAATATATTTCAGTGAATCTGGTGATGATTGATATAGTCCTTCAAGAATCTAATCTGTTCTGTGAAGCCTGTAACGAGTGATATAGTCCTCGTGGATCAAAGCTCTAACAGTGGTGATACTCGTGGATCAAACCTCTAACCATGGTGGTATTCGTGGATCAAGGCTCTGACAGTGGCGATACTTGTGGATCAAAGCTCTAACCGTGGCGATGCTCGTGGATCATCTCTTGTCACCACCACTCATAAATCCAGCTCAAGTCAAATTATATCAATTTCCCTGATTCGTAAACGAAAAATGAATTTGTTGTAGTTATTGTAAACGATGTTTGTAGCTACCGTAAAATACACGATATTTATTTTTCACAGTTTTCTTTCTTCTCACTGTGTTGTTTTGTACTTTAAACAGAGTTGTGCATTCTTTTTATAATCAACACAAAAGTATTATTTGCTTCATTAAGTTTTGTTAGTACTCTGTTTTGTACTTTAAACAGAGTTGTGCATTCTTTTTATAATCAACACAAAAGTATTATTTGCTTCATTATACTTGAACGACAGTTTTCACAATTACACTTATTAATTAAGTAACAAGGCACGCACGAGTATTGTCCAGAACAAATGACAACATTTGTCCAAAAATAAAAGCAGTTTTGAATTTTTTTTTACGACCAGATATTTTTCAAACTGAGATTGATAACGATGACAGAGCGTTTAGTATTTAGCACTGGCTTAATGTAATGTATTATGATAATTCTATTTTCAAGTCTTGGTTATTAAAATACTCACATAGAAAGAGAGAGACTATCTCAAACAGAAGCGGAGCTCAGCTAGACGTCCATAAAGTTTCCCTCTTTCCGTCAAACGATTACTTTTTCACTTTCACAATATTTCAGTGTTTATTTTCTAACATATGCTAATTTTATGTTGAAAACATCAACAATAAGCAATAAAACGTACAGCTTCTGAAATTTTAAAAATCGTTACAAGGCGCTCCAGCCATCGAATTGGTTCAGGTGATCAGAAAAAGTCTGAGTCCAAATGAGTGTCCCCGTTTTGTTGAGTGCCGAGACAATGACTTCTGAAGTTCCTGACAAGATCGTTATTAGTAAAATGAATAACGCTTCAAAAGACCAATTTAGACTCGTCCAACCAAGGACTAATTTGGTAAAGCTCAATGTTCGCAGGCAGCACAGCACTAATTACATACTTAACGTTCGTAATTTCAACGTCCTCTGACTGGGCTTTTGTTCTTGATATTGCTGTGGAGTGGTACTTGGTGTGTACGACTCGAAATCTAATCTCTTTCGAACTATAAATGTACAAACCCTCTCTCTTTGTAACACTTACTGTCTGATGAATAATGAACCTGTGTATACTTCCTCGTATACAGAGTCTAAGTTTCGATACACAGAAGCAAGTGACAAACATGCTCTGTAGCTTGTTACCCAACAAAACCGCTTCAACTGCTGAAATTCACGGAGTATTTTCATAACAAGATAGGCTTCCGTTACTTAACATCAAGCCTCTCTTAGAACACTTCCTTAAAACATTCTGCAACTTTACAAGTTTTGCTCTTAAGAAACTTTTAACACAAGATGTCCGAAAATTTCACACCATCTACAGTTTTGGTACTAATTTTGGAACAAAAATTACAATACAAGCTCTCAGACTAAAGTTACTATACAAGGTCTATATGAGTGAATTTGGACTGTGGTCTTTACGTAAGGTTACAATACAAGGTTTACATGGATGAATCTTGTTATTAAATTTTTATTAAAAATATTATTTTGCATTGTTAGCTTAATATATGGCTTTACGATTATCCTAAATTCCTTAACTTCTTCGATCAAGGGGGAATATTATTGGGATATTATTGCTATCATCTCTAATAGCAACAATACCCAACTGATAAAACAATGCGTTCTAATCATTATAACTAAGAACCTAAAATCAGTATTAATAAAAGTAAAACCCCATCAGTATTAATAAAAGTAAAACCCCATTTAAATCATTATTATTTATTATTGCTAAAGCATAGATGTTTTATAATAATTATTATTATTTAAATGGAGTTTTACTTTAATTAATTAAATACCGAAAGAAATCTTACTATACCAATGAAAAAGAATAGTATATTTAATTAGCTATGCTCATTACTGGATTGTTTTTAATTTTGGTCTAAGTAGATAGCTTGCTTTGGTCAGAAGTTAATATTAATTACTTATAACAGGATAATCGCACCAGGCAGTAAGAAGCCTTATCAACTGTCGTTACCGAAGTGTACTGATGAAAAATACAGCCACTGTTCTACTTTTTATAATTAAACATAAAAAATTAGGATAATGTATATGTAAGGATCAGACATACAACCCCTTTTGTTGGTCACCATTATAAATGTAAGGATCATACTTAGAACCCCTTTTGTTGGTCACCATTATAAATGTAAGGATCATACTTAGAACCCCTTTTGTTGGTCACCATTATAAATGTAAGAATCATACTTACAACCCATTTTGTTGGTCATCATTATATATATAAAGATCATACTTTCAACCCCTTTTGTTGGTCACCATTATAAATGTAAGGATCATACTTAGAACCCCTTTTGTTGGTCACCATTATAAATGTAAGGATCATACTTAGAACCCCTTTTATTGGTCACCATT